AACTCCCAGAATTCCCCAGCCAGCCATGCTGGCTGGGGAATTCTGGGAGTTGAAGTCAGCACATCTTAAAGTTATCAAGGTTGAGAAACACTGCCCTGAGCCATCTCACGCTGGCTGTTTGCAGCACGCCGGAAAATGAAAAGAAAACAAAATTATTGCTTGCTAAGGGAGACCCTCACAAATGTTCAGCTTGGACAAAACCGGTGTCAAGTTGCAAATGATCACGCCCGTGGATCGGTACCCAACTGCTTCCACTTGGCTTCTCGTAGATGGAAGAGCAACTAAATAAACCAGATCTGCTTTTAGTTGGTTAGGATTACAGCCCAAGTGGAATTCCTGGTGCGATGTTCCCATTGAGGCTTCCTCATTCTGGCTTACAGTATTTAGAGGAGAGTAAAAGAGGGATTCCCACCTCAGACACAATCCAAGCAAGCCACTGAGTGAGGTAACATAAACTAACAACTATTCTCGTTTGTCAGCCAGGGCTTGTGGCTTGGCCCAATCACAGTTCAATTAACAAATGATGGTTAACCATGTCACAGGATGTGTGATCCAGACGGTTTCTCTATATGTATGTAGATAGGAATGTACGCTCCCAGGCTGGGTCTTGAAGTCAGGACTTTTAAATCATGTTCTGTCAAGCAAGCCATCATTGCAACTTCCCCTGTTCTTGCCCCCCAAGGAGTTGCCACGGTTGCTAAAATTCTTTCGATTAAAATGAAATAAAGGGGACCAAGATGGAAGAATACAGAAATGGGGAGTCCTTGGTGCTCTCTGAGCTTGGCTGTTGGCTTGCAGACGTTTCATTACCCGACCAGGTAACCTCATCAGTGTTAGTGAGTAAGGGGTTTGCCCCCTGTTTATATACAGTAGCTTACAGTAGCTTGGGGGATCTGGAAGTGGAAGTCCACACATCGTAAATTTGCCTCGGTCGAGAAACACTGCGCTGGGGATTACAATGCCTTTTGTTCCTCAGCAGCAGAGGCCACACAATGCTCTGAATAAACTCTAATCAGCTGGATTTGCACAACATACTAGGGCTCTCTTTGGGACTGGAAAAAAAGTGGGCAGAAATGATTGAAATAAATCACTAGAAACAAACCGACGTCAATTTACAGCTTAGTGCCATGAGTGAAATCAGCCAGTTCTTCCCGATGTTTCTCTTTCCACCAACTAAACATCTGAGCCTTCCATAAAAGCAAACAGCATCAATATGGAGCAACACAGAATTCTTGGAAAACAAAGCTTTGATTTAGATCAGTGTTTCTCAACCTTGGCAGCTTGAAGATGTGTGGACTTCAACTCAAGGCTGGCTGGAGAATTCTGGGAGTTGAAGTCCACACATCTTCAAGCTGCCAAGGTTGAGAAACACTGACTTAGATCATTCAAAGGGCTGCCAAAAATGAAATCAGTCCTCTCCGGTTTATTGACTGAAGGATGTGCTAGATCTGTTATGTGAAACTATTGCGCAAGATTCCCGGCAAAGGTTACGACAGGCTAATTCCATGTCTTTGGGCTGAGAATCCTGTCCACTTCTGGAGAGCCCCAGACCCTCCAGACCTCTTCAAAGACCCATCCCTGCCCAGACCACTGGCAATCTCAGTGCATCTTAGCAGTACAGGTACTCCTTGCTTAACGACCATTTAATGATGGTTCAAAGTTACGACAGCATCATAAAAAGTGCTTTACAACCTGTACTCACACTTACGACCGTCGCAAACTGTTGCACCACCACCATGGTCACATGATCAAGATTTGCAACTTTTTTATGACAGTCATAAAGTGAATCACCGCAGTTGTTAAGCAAACTCCAGCAAAAATGTCCATTGGGGAAGCAGGAGTCATTTAACAACCATGTGCTTTGCTTAACGACTGTAGTGATTCCCTTTATGACCATCGTAAAAATCGTAAAATCGGGTCCGGTCACATGGTGACTCACTTCATGATCGGCCCACTTAACAATCAATTTTCCAATCCCTATTGTGGTCATTAAGCGAGGACTACCTGTAGCAATTTAGACCCAACTTTGCAGAATCATCTGCATTCCAAAACCGCCAAATGAGGCTGACAGAAAGTCACTCACCAAAAGCTGTTTCCTGAACTAGCCACTTGGAACTGGAAGTGAGAATTTTTAGAGTTTTGCAGCATCAACGTCTTGACACTAAGCCACACTAATTCCTTCTCTTTCTCACCCCAGGAAAGATGTTTGGGAAAGCTGTATGTCAAACAGGTGGTAAACAGATTTGTAATCCCCATTTCTAGGAAGCCTAGCTTGGATATTTTCCCATGAACTTTGGCATCTTGTAATAAACCCTTTCCTGTTTCTCATCCTCCTCACATTGATTTGTAGAGATTTTGTCTTAAAGATTCAGTCTGGGAACACCTGGAAACAGCCTGATCCCATGCAGCAAATATGTCTGTAACAAAAATATATTTACCCTTGCCAAGAAACTGAAATCTTGCTGAATGCCTTCCACAACCAGCCCCATCCATCAAATGATTTTGTGTTACTTTATGGCTCCTTGTCCAGCTGCTGCTTTTGAATACAGGACGCTATTCAGCCAGAACTGGGCACACTGTAAATCTCATCCAGTAATTTCAGAGAGGGGCAACAAATACATGTAGAAGAGATTCTTTAAATCTATCCCATGGATATTCAAGGACATTCCACTAGTCTGTCCAAACATGATGAACTTCATGTATGAACTTCAGTGCTCATCGCCATCAGATGATGTAACTCCAGGTCAGGGTGCCTGGGAAGAAGATTGTATTCCAACACATCTAGAGGGCACTAGAATTGGAAAAAACTTGTCACCTGCCTTGTCTGACCTCCAAAATGCTGCAAAGGCACACTACCCTGTCCACCACCTAGTTTCCCTTTTAACTTCCTTTTTGTTCTATTCCTTCCTATCTAGCAGATGAAAAAGGTGAAGCTCATGTTTTCAGCCAAAGCCCAATGTGAAACCAGCGAGTGGTTTCATTGAGTTCCTCAAATGGTTACTGACGTTTATTATTCTGCTTTTACAGGATGATTTTAATTCTTTCCCTTTTACAATTTACTGATATAAATCATGGAAATGATTAGTGAAAGATTGCCACGGGCTGGAAAGGGAAACAACCTGAAAGGAGGAGGAGGTGCTACCTTTGCAATTTTTGGTCCCCAAAAAAACAGGTGGAAGTCAACCTTGTCCATCCTACACTGGCCGCAACTTTTGCACGTGGTGGTCCCCGTATCACTATGTACTTCCATAATGTTGCAGATGCAAAAACCTAAACACGCCAATTAAGAATTGTTCCAAAATAGGGATCACGCAATATCTCCCCTGGTTTCCCCAGAGACAGAGATATCATGCAAAGTTTGGTGAACTCCCAAGACTGGCCCGTTTCAAATTGAGGAATTAATTGTCCTCTTCTGCAGCAATGTGAAAAATATTCATCTGAAGAACGTTGGTGGGACAGAGCGATGGGGGCAGCTGAAAACAAACTGGGATCAGAATACTGAATGCAGATCCCAGTAAACTGAAAGGTTCTTTCGAAGCCAAGGGAACTTAGGTGCCTTTGCTAAAACATTAGAAGATTTTTTTAATCCAAGGCAGTAGTTTACCAGGTGATTACAACACAGGCAAATATTCAAGTAGGGGAGAAACACACTGCCAAGGAAAAACACACAAAACGAAACTTCTTTGAAAAAATTCATGAGCGATGAACCCAGAGAAAAAATGTAAAACATTTTAGGTAAAATCATTTTTAGGGGAAGGAAGGAAGGAAGGAAGGAAGGAAGGAAGGAAGGAAGGAAGGAGTTTGATGGGAGGGAGGGAGGGAGGAAGGAGATGGGAATGAGGGAGG